AACAAACAAACAAAAAAACTGACAAAGTCTCATCACCAGTGACTGAGAAGTGATGCTGCGAGAGATCTATATAAATAAATTACGGAAATAACTTTTGTCCTTCACTAGCTTTGCACCCCTCCATCTATCTCCTTGTGATCCCCCTAGAATTTACTACCCCTAGCTCACACCCCTTTGTCTTGTCATTTTCTCACACAATTTATCATTCTTTGTCGAAAAAGTATGAACGCGTTCTGCTTTGGCCATTTATTCAGGTCTTCACTGTCTCGTGAAGGTCCCCATGTAATACAAAAATTAATAAAACGTTGTCTACCTTTCTCCTGTTAAATCTGTCTTGTGTTAATTTAGTTCCTAGACACAGCTGAAGATTCCACTTAAGAGCTGGAATCATAAGGGGCAGAGGTGACCTATAGCCTCTATAGAGTGCTGGCAAGAGCATGCTTTTGGAGTCATACTATCTGGGCTTCAATTCCCACTTTTCTGTTTGCTAGCTGTTTGGCACTGGGCAAGTCATTTAGCTTTGCTATATGCCTTAATTTTCCTCATCTGTAAAATGGGACTATTAGGACCCCCTGTAGAGATTTGACGTGAGAATTAAATGTAAAAGGGTTTACATAGAACAATGCCTGACAAGTAGGAAGTGCTGATAAGAGTTATTATAGGTTGAACATCCCTAATCCAAAAATCCAAAATGCTCCCAAATCCAAAACATTTTGAAAATGAACATGGTGCTCCAAGTTAGCCCCAACTCATTTTTTTTTTTTACTGTTTTATATGTTGTATTTTCTACTGTTAAGTACTTACGTGTGAATAAGAAAACAATTCCTTACTGGTTTCGTATCAATTCCGAGTTAGGAGTGATGATGTTAAATAACCACAGACGGTCTACGTGAGTGGCTGGCGAACATGGTGACACCTTTGCTTACTGATGGTTCATTGCACATAAACTTTGTTTCATGCACAAAATTAAAAATAGTGCATACAATTACCAGTAGGCTATCTGTATATGGCACATAAACTGATTTTATGTTTAGAGTTGGGTCCTATCCCCCAAATATCTCATTATGTACATACCATAATTCCAAAATCCAAAAAGAACTTGAAATGCTTCTGATCCCAAGCATTTCTTTTTCTTTTTTTTTCTTTTTTTGCAGTTTTTTGGCCAGGGCTGGGTTTGAACCCACCACCTCTGGCAAATGGGGCTGGTGCCCTACTCCTTTGAGCCACAGGCGCTGCCCCCAAGCATTTCTGATAAGGGATACTCAACCTGTACTGAGGAAGTTTCAGAAGGGAGATTACAATATGGGCTGCTTGTCTGGCACCATTCTATGACATTCAAATGAGATTTTGAATAAAACAAAATTAATTTTGTACCTCTTTATTAAATAAATACTAGGTGTTGATACTTTACAAACATTAACCTACTTGAGATAGTTATTCCCATTCTAGAGGGAAGATA